TAAAGGGTGCATATAAGTACCTTAAAGGTACATATTAGTACTTTAATGGCACATATTTGTACCTTTCAAACAGGTACCGTGTTTGGTAGATAGATAGAATTAAGATTTATTTTTGAATATGAAACACAATCATCTGATTTTTAGTTTCAGTAAATAAAACACAGAACCAATGATACGAGTATTGTTATTTAACAGCTAATTACTTAGATGCTGAGTTGGTGATTCTGCAAGGGTCGAGGCTCTGAGTTGAGTGTTTTGCTCTTTGCCCCTTGCGGGGAAGCAATAACAAACTAATTAGCAATTAATGTGTATCCTCGCCGTCCTCTAGTCCAATGAGGGGTGGCTTTCACAGGAGAAGACAACTATGTTCCCCATTATAAATTACCATGATGTTGATTGATGTGTTCTCAGAAGTTTTGTCATTGATGGTTGTTCTTCTTTTTCTTTTTTGCTGTTTATTTCATTACGTTAAGCACAGTTATGGGTTTAATGGAAGTTTGGAGGAACAGGTGATGGGGCTAATTAGTCATTAGCAGAGAGTCTCCGGTCCCAAATGACAAGTGCATGCTTTACAAGGTCATAATTTGATTAAAGTGCCTGCGAGTGACAGGAGAGACAACCGTGGCATGATTAACTTGTGAATGGTGGCTGCTTGGACCGAGAGCAGTGTAACTTCATCATGTGTGTTGATACACATGTGCTTGTCCGCGTATAGAGGTGACTGAATAACTTCACAGCAAACTTCAAGTAAATTAATCAAATAAAACGCGTATTTTTTTCCAAAATATGAAAATTCCTGCATCAATTATTTAGTCCTACCATGGAACACAAGAGACATTTATCTTGTAAAGGAGCAGCACATTTTTTAATACACTGTTTCCTTTTCATATTTTTGTGTAACGTTTATTATTATTTATTAGCTCTAAAAGGGGAATATTTATGACGAATTATAACTGGTTATGATTCATAATAAATATTTAGATTATATCTTCGAATTAACTGTAGCAGAATCAATATTACAATTATTTGATCTGTCCGTCCACCGAGCAGACAATATAATCATTTATCAATTCAAGGAATATTTATTTTCTGGCCACGGAACAATAAACTGTCCTTCTTTGTGCAGTGCTAGCAGTAATTCTTAGCCAAATGTAGCAAGGGTTCAAACATTCATTGACTTGGAACTGTGAACAGTAAACAGAGACAATTCGTTGTGAATATAAGGGATTTAATAAAATGAAACTATATCTAACATATAACTAACTAAAACATATATATACACGGAATGAAACAAAGTAAGGAAAAGATAGAGAATAGAAAAGAATGGCAGTATTTCACATCACTTAACCACAACCTCTGAAAAATCATCAAAGAATCCAATAATCACCTTAAAAGGGACTGAGATTTAAACACGCATCTGAATAATTTGAAGCGGTTACTTGCATTGGTTTCGATTGCTGAAGAGGAGTCCGGATGCGGTAGATAACGGAGGTCTTTTGATGAGTTCGTGAGGAGTCAGCTGGAAGTTTTTACTTCTGGTTCTTCTGAAGAAGAAGTCCACAGCGACTAACGTTACTTGAAAGTAAAAACTGCCGGAAAATAAAACTCAAGAGGAAGGTCTTGAGAGTCCTGAAAGGTGTTGTCTCAAACGAAGAAGAAGTTTTTTGAGCGCAAGTTATTTTGGGCTAATCGTTTTTGAGAGTTCCTATTCTGTGTGTTCTGACCAATGAGAGACATGGATTTTGAGCGGGAGAATCGTCTTTGTCTCTTGTTTTATGGCTCATTTGCATGCTTTATGGCCGGTCTGGAATATCCGTAGTTTTAACCCAAAATATCGTGCGAGTCATATGATGCGTTTCACAATCACATACTATACGTCATTGTCCGAGAAATGAAGAACAGGTAACATTGATACCAAGAAACAATAATCTGGAATAGATTAAACCAAAGATACACACATACACCTGAATATAAGTGTTTTATGGCTTTAACTAATACAAATAACGAGTGGTAACTCATCTAATCTAACAAGGGAGTGTACACACCACATGCATATACCAGATACAATTATAACTGATTAATTATAGTCTAAAATAAAGAAATGTCTGTATGTGTGTGTGTGTGTTAGTTTGGGTGTGTGCGTGTTCGTTTGGCCATTCACAGCTCTCTGTGGAATGTTTTTGATCAGAAGATTCCAGGATTCTCGTGGGGGCTGGTTCTAATCTTTTTTGACGGCGAAGAACCATTTGGCAATTTACAACCCCTATACAAGTAACATCTCTGACCAGAACTGTAATTTATATGCAAATGTCAAAAGGCTAAAAGGGTCTTTTAAGCCATAAACAGTCCAACACTCCAGCATGATCCTACGCAGACGCTACAGCTGGTAATCAAACAGTTGATGATCCCCATTGACTTCCATTGACTTCCCTACTCTGGAACCTTAGCAACACCCAGAACACCCCAGCAACCCCAGAGCAACATCGTACACACCACCCAGACCATAGTAATCACATAGCAACCACCCAGACCATCCTAGCAACCACCGAGACCACCCTAGCAACCACCCAAAACACCCTAGCAGCCCCCCAGAACACCCTATCAACCACTCAGACCACCCTAGCAACCACTTAGACCATCCTACCAACTGCACAACATCCTAGCAACCACCCAGACAACCTTAGCAACACCCAGAACACCCTAGCAACCCCAGAGCAACATCGTACATACCGCCCAGACCATAGTAATCACATAGCAACCACCCAGACCATCCTAGCAACCACTGAGACCACCCTAGCAACCACCGAGACCACCCTAGCAACCACCCAGAAAACCCTAGCAACCACATAGGAACCACCCACAAAAAGATTTAAAGATCTAAGTAAAAATCCAGTTGAAACTCCTGTGCATCACAGCCAGTGAAGCTTGTTGAACTCTCTGTGTTTCAGCTTCCGATGATGAGCGGCGCGTTCATGGACGCGTCTCCTCTGGACGACTGCAGCGCGGAACACTCGCTCTTTAACTCCTCGGCCAGTGTGAACGCTGTGCCTCCTGCATTATCATCAACACAGGTCCAGCAGGAGGATCAGCAGCGTGTGTCCAGCGATGCCATCTGGCTCTGGATCGCCATCTTCGCCACCATCGGCAACATCGTGGTGGTCGGAGTCGTTTATGCTTTTACTTTCTGAGGACGGAACAGCTATATAAGACTTATGGGGAAGACAAAACTATCATTTTATTGTGCAGCTCCACACACACTGAGTCATGGACATATGAGGAGACGAGCTAAAGGATTCAATTCAATGAAAGAACTGGACCTCCTTGAACATCTCCAGAGAAATAAGATGCAGTTCTGAGAAGTGCTAGTCAATGATAGAAGTGCAGAGAGCATCATTTTAAAAATAAAGCCATAAAAAAAGCATGTTACTTGAAATAAAATAAATGTTAACTGAAATAAAATACATGTTTTATTTCAGCTAGTAGCCAAGGAAACATTTCCCATTTTCATTCAACCTGATGCACTACAAAAACTAAAACTCAATTTAAAATGAATAAAAACTATATAAACATAAAAAATACTAAAAATGATTTAAAAAAAAATATATTGAATTATGCTTTATTTTCTTTTTTTATTTCAATTAAAAAATTTTAGTAATGTGTGCTTTTGGTATTTTTATTTATTTTATTTTTTAATATATATGACTATAGTCTTTATTAAGTATTAATTTAATTTGAGTTATCTTAGAACATGAAGTTAAACTAAACAATATATAAAATTGTTTCAATAATGAAACAATAAACAATGAAATATTTAATAATAATAAATTATTCCTGATAAATTTTAAAATAAAATTATTAAGTAATAAATACAATTAAAAAAATCAGTTATTGTTTATTTTAAGTAATTATTTAGTTTTAGTTAACAATAATAACCTTCAGCTCAGTCCAGTCATCTCCAGTGTCTCTCCACACTTGTTTTCTACTTCTAATAAAATAAAATCAATATTTCATTTACATTTAGTTACTCATTTGATAAGCGGCTGCATAATCAGTCAAATCTTGTTTTCACACTTATTAATATCAGATTAATCCAATAGGATAAAGAGAACTGAATCATCCCGGCATCTCCCATCTGATATAAACACATCTAAACGCTGAAGCGGCTTTGATCATCTCTGGTCCAATAGTAGCTGTTGCCATGGTGATTAATCCTTTCTAATTAAGAACACTAACAGACTCTTAACGATATGCAAATATGAGTTACTGTAGGGAATATGCTCATTATTCAGTGAGCATAAATTCATCCTTTATAGCAGAAGACCCTATGATTGATAGTTTTACGATGGATTATGTTCAGACTGCTGTAACACAATAAGACTTAAACTCTAAGACACAATGTGCATGAAACTCTGCCAAGGTTTTGGAGCTGTTACTTGTTTATTTTGTATATTTGTTAAGCCTGTCTGACTGTATCCATGATATAAAATGATTCAAGCTGGGGCCGGTTGCATAAAAGGTTTAGACTAGTCTTACAAGTTAGTCATCTCATTTTTTTTCTTTAAAACTGGTCTATTCGGTTACATAAAAGCATAGATTAGTCTAAGTTGAATCCAAAAATAAGACTGATTACCCCTTGGCTAGCAGCTAGTTGGTCAAATTCGTACTTAAGACACTTCTTAACATAAAGTTTATGCAGCTGGCCTCTGGTCAACAAATATGAGCTGATCACAGAAAATCTGTGTAGAAAGTAAAAGCTCAGTTTGTGTATAGTATATATTTGAGAGAACAGTCTTTATTTTTCAAAATCAGAGTTGCATGAATCTGTTTCTGTAGCTTTTTTGGGTGAAAATGCCATTTACTAATAAAAGATTAACAACCAATATCCATCAATTTCCCTGTCGCCTAATTCTGAATCAGAAACGATGCGCAGCTGTATCAGCGATGTCTGATGTAGTCACTGATGATTTCAGACCTCAGCTGGATGAAATATTAACCTGATATCCTCATAACGAGCCCATATGAACATGACGTTTACCTATTTAACAAGCTCTGTTTATACACAATATTGGCAGCTCAATCAATCTAAAGCCAATCATAGGCTCCTCAGTCTACCTGACATCATGTCCACATGCATTATGGATCAACATAATTTGTAAACCTCCCAGAATGCATCAGTGCCGACAGCTCTACATGTTAAAGGTAGAGATGCACCGATCAACCGGCCAGGGACCAGAATCTCTCTCGAGCGCAGAAAGTCCAAAACTTATGAGATGCCATGAAATCCCTAATATGGACACAGACATCCAGCTATAAAAAACGTAATGACAATACATGCACGATTGCAAAAATATATGGTTTGCGTGTGTTTTTCAAGTCATCTCCAGGTAATAAAGAAACTAAAGCATCTGAATAATGCAGTGCTAACTGACATTGCATTTATTACAGTGGCCTATCGAAACTATAAAATATATTTTCTGCCTTATTCTGCGATAAAAAATGGAAAAAAGTGTAGTATATAAACAAACCATAAAACTGATATTAGGAAAATATAGGGAACATTTTACAAGTGAAATTAATAATACAAATTATTGGTAATTGTTCAGCAGTGTATTTGATTTCTTAGCCAATTAAAAGTAAGACATAACAAAAAAATGAAACCTGTCATTTAGACAAAAAAAAAAAGTAATTACATTTGACATTTCTGTCCCCCTCACTTCTGAAATGATGGCTACGGCCCTGAACACGATTGCAATGTGACACTGATTTTATACAATAGTAGTTCAATGAACAAGAAGTTCAAATTAAGTGACTTACATTTTAGACACAATATTGACTGTTTTTGCTCAATTTCGCAAACAAAAATAGTTCCAATCAAAGCCACAGCAGAAGTGTTGTTTGTCTCTGTGTTTTATTACTAAATTAATCCATGTTTTTGAACGAATCGAGTGAGTCAATGATTCAGTAATCCATTCATTAAAGGGGTCCTATTATGCTCGTTTACAAAGTCTTGATTTTGTTTTGGGGGTGTACTAGAACAGGCTCTCATACTAGGTTGTTCGAAAAACACATTATTTTTCATATAATTTACATTATTACAACACCTCTCTCCCCAGTCTGGCATGAACGGCTCGAATAGTTCCTGTATCAAATGAAAGCCCGCCTTCTGAAATACAAAATGTGCTGTGATTGGTTAGCTGGGCCAGTGTGTGCTGTGATTGGTTAGCTGGGCCAGTGTGTGTTGTGATTGGTTAGCTGGGCCAGTGTGTGTTGTGATTGGCAGCACTTGGCGCCTGGTCGGGAAATGTCACACCCCTTACCATAGCCGCCTGTGAGCTTCAGTGTAAATATTGCATCAAAATCAAATCAATTTGAGCGCGATTTAAACCCAAATGATTGTAACCACTCTAAGTTCGTCTGGCTTGGGAAAGCTAGCGTGTCTCTGACATAGTGATGACACTCGTTGCCTTCTCTAGTGCAGCTCAACCCGGTCTCGTCCCATTCGTCGATATTTGTGATGTCACAAATCCCGGAAAATATGCGTTGTAGTCCAAACGAGTCGTTCGTTGTAGTTTTTGAAAAGTGATTTCTGTTAAATAAAATATCTCCTTTTGAAGTGGACTTTGAGCTTTGTAACTTCACAGATCTTTTTATGCTCAAACAGCAACATTACAGACTAACTAAAGTTGAAAAATCATAATAGGAGCCCTTTAAGACAGTCACTTGCCTCGTTTCAGAATGAATCAGCCGTTTGAACGAATCGGTTGACTGAATGACTAAATGACTCACTCATTAAAACAGTCATTTGCCGCCTCCTACTGGTGGTTTGATCATATTTAAAATTATCATTGCATTTTCCCCAACATTTCTTATTGGTATGTGCAAAAAATATTTAAAACATTACTCTTATAAAATTATTTATGCATTTGCCATTTTGTGGCGTGAATGCATTTATGGCACCTCAGCTTCATCAAACCGTCTGTGTAAATACATCTAAAGCCACTTCAGATGCAGCTTCTCTGTTTCCTGCAGTGGAATGATAGAGTTTGTTAATACTAATTTAATTTGAATTGTAACAACTCTACAGTTTCTTATTATTCTAACTGAATTAATTGAAACAATGTAAGAATTTGATGTGAAAAATGACACATTTAATAAGGTTAGGGGGGAAAAAATGACCATTTATAAACGGAGGGAAATTACATCTGTTTCCAGTTACAGAGCGCTTTATTTTGAGAGTTGTTTAACTGAGAGAACATTTGTAACTTAGTCCAGATTGGGGGAATTGTAATGCTTAATCATTTATTTTATTATGTAAATAAAAAGGTAGGTTTTTGTTTATATGCTGTCAGTTATATTTTTTAGAAAGAAAATTGAAATCGGCAAAAATCGGTATCGGCAGGTCACAGAAAAGAAAGGTAATCGGAGTCCATAATCCATAATAACGAAGATGATGCCAGTGAATATCTTTAAAAGATAAAGATGAAAACTTCAAACACCTACAAAAACAGCCAAACACACACAGTCAGCTCATTAAAAGGATGAACTTCTCAAACACCACAAGAGGAGAGAGAGAGAAATGTGTCCAAAAACAGAACAATAGCTGTTGAACTGGTAAACATAAACACATGCAATGTCAGAAATAAATAAATAAAATTAATGAATTTTAATAAATCATGAATTATTATTATTATTATTAATAATAATGCTAAATAAAACTATTATAAATAATAATTCTAAACAATTTATGAATAAGTTACTAGTATTTATGTATTTTATGAACTGTGCTAACACTAACTGTTATCCAGCAGGGGGCGCTGATGCTTAAAGAATTCACTTTAACCAATATAACCTGAAGTCTTAAATCTAAATAGTAGTTTATAATCGTAATTATAATGTAACTGATTGACAGGGATAATGTTTATTGATGAATATATTTTGCAAACAAATGCAGAATTGAGGTGCAGTTCTAAAAACAGTTACGATTATTTTTTTAAAGACGTGAACGACATGATAAATAATGGGCTCTATTTTTGGGTGAACTATTCCTTGCATAAAGCAAGAGCTGAAGTTTTCCATCATGACAGAGTTTGTTTATCTCCACTTACATAACGTGATGAGTGTGTCTGTAAACCGAAGTGACATTACAACCATCACAAACACTTCCTGACACATGCTGTCATCTGCAGCTTACTAATTCAGCAGAGCAACCCCATTACAACATCACAGACACACACGAGATTCAGTTACTATATGAAGATGGTGCTTCAGAGATTACAACAGAGCTACCATGCTACGGGTCCAGTTAAAAAAAAAAAAAAAAAAAAAGTAGCT